GTCTAAATTTAGTTTGCACGAAAGTTGTAAATAACACCATATAAGGATAGACATTCCATATTTGGAAAAACGAACGTTACGGGGCAGATATTCAAATTCATTAGTTATCGATGCAGGCTCTCAATTCAGCTTGAGAGCCTGTTCGCAGGCTAAGTACATAATTGTCCTATGGCCAAGCAGTTCAGAGGCCGACCATTTAGTATTTGTATAACCCTCTGTCGAGGATACATACATTATAAAAGTGTACCCACCCCTTTGTAGGGATGTGCCGGATCCAGATACTCATGGTATCCGATATCCAGTAAAATATAGACATCCGCAGTATATGCAATAAAAATTTGCCAAATATTTACCGGATAGTGCTAGGACTTTGATTAGAACCTATCCAATACCATCCGGTATATGGTAAAACACTATCCGGCACAAAGGGTTGCATGATTTGAAGTGGTTGTGTTTCAAACACGAAGTTTGTCGATAAAAACAGTTTAGTTTTATAAACATTTCAAAACGTTTTTTGCAGCATTCTAGGTTGAATTTAATTTACATTAAATTGAAGCTTATACTGTATTACGCATAATGGCAAAACTAAGTTTAAAAATTAAAAGTTTTTGTAATTGCATCTGATATAAGTTTTTCGTTATTTTTACAATTTGTTAGGAAATAACAGAAACTAAAAAAATGATTATGCAATGTTATCATGATAACCACTTCAAAATACTCACGTTTCGAAAAATATAACTGCTTGGTTAGCAAGGCGAGCGGTTTCTGCACGCATGTCATGTATTTCTAGTTGTGTAATTCCGTAATGTATATTAAGTGAGATTATTTAAAATTCTCCGATGCATGAAAAATTGAAAGCATTCCTCAGGATCCTGTTCTGTATTTCAGTCCCAATATAAGATCACTTATTTCCCAGTATATGATAACCTATATTTCCCAGTATATGAAACTAGTTCTTGGGGGCTCTTTACATGATCTCGCTTTGCCGGGACGAGATGAGAAGCGGGATAATTAATAATTGCGGGATTGGAATAAGTCACAGTTCATGATTCACCACAACTAATTATTTTATAATGTGATAGATTACAGTATACAATTCTAAATAAAATGTTGTTCAAACAGCAATAGTATAAATATGACATGTTCTCGCCAAGATTTTAGACCTTTAACCGGCGTTGGAACTTTCGTTTAAGCCTAGCGACTTATTTCAATACATCAAAATCATCCCGTCTTATGCTTCCATCCTATCTCTCGGCAACTCTGAATCATGTAAACAGCCCCTTGGCATAGTCATCAGTCATATTACGTTTTATATCTTAATTAAATCTCATTCGCCACTGAAATTTGCCTTAAAGGCTAGATTTTCATATTGCATTGTCTGAATTCGCTGATCACCCCCCTTCGTATGATCTGGACAAGCACCTGTGCCGGGAGCTTGTAGTGGTTGATAAAAATTCTCAGGTTCTTGGTTGTCTTTCAACGACATGTAGGTCGAAGGTTCCTGACCTGTAGAATTGTCTGGTCGAGATCCAGTGCAATTACGTTCAACAGATTCCAAAACTTCGTCTGGAGTTTCGTATAGAGTGTCGTCATTCACGTACGATCCTTTTTGAGCACCTTCGAAGCCCTTCATCGATTTCGAATCTGTAAGATTTAAAGAACATAGTTGCAAATCGTCAGAAAATCGTACAACGAATAATATTTTTTGTTTTTGTTTAACTATTCATTTCCAACCCTATATTTAATGTTGTTATTTAGGCCTGTTTTAGACGTTGAATCACCGTCGAATTTAATAATTCGTTGAATTTATTGCTGTTGATTTTATTATTCGACAGAAATTCTCATTTTCATGTGATTTTATTCGACGCACCACATTACATTAAACCAGGGGCGGCGCTAAAGGAAGGGTGGAGCACCAGTCGGCAAAATTGGTTAATCCCAGTCGGAAAATTGTTTTGTAGCCATGCACCAAGACATGAATTTGATAGGAAAAAATAAGCTGAGTGAAACAGAGTAAAAATTAAAACTATAGCAAAATATTTGAGAAATTTACGAAAACGTGAAGGAAAAAAGAAAACATTAAATAAAGGAACAACGATAATTATGTTAAATTCAATTAAATTTGTCAAAGTGTTTAATTGGCTTCATCGTACAATTGAAAAAAGTTAAACTGAGTTTGAAATTAGAAATCAGAAGCATTACATTCAAGAATTAAATTCGGCGACGAAAATCCGACGTCTAAAACTTGAACGAAACAGGCCCTACTTGCATTTTAAGGAATAAGCCGCTATCGTTTGACAGCTTAAAATCTTTAGTTCATTAAAAATTACTGAACGACGGAAGAAATACATATTTGCAATAGATGCTTAGTCCGCGAACCAACGGCGCAAAGCGCCGTTTCAAGAGTAAATCCGGGGCGAGGGTACTAATTCCGCTCCGCTATTTACATCGGGGGAAAAAGAAAGCATTTAGCGAAGTTTAAAGTGGTGTATATGGTCGTGTATGGGTGGACCTCTTCACTGATCTCAAAAATATGGCTGTTTGCCAAGAGTGGGATCGATAAGCAAGATTTCAATTTCCAAAAACATATATTTGGAAAATCATTTCATACAATGAGCGTTCGAGCAATCAAAGAAATATAAGAATAATTGATATACTATAGGAAATCGTGAAATGTAGAGCAAGTTTGCTTTGAATGTTTAAAGTTTATGAATTTTGTTGCTTTTAATTTTTTGCGTAAAACACTGCTTTCTTTTTCAATCTAGCTGCATACATAACGCGTTCCAAACTATCTTTGCATTTTCCAAAATAATATTTTTTCGACAAAAACAGCCTTATTTGCAAAATTTTGCTGACACCAAAAACCTTTTAAGAGAAAAATACCACCTTTAATTGTAAAAAATGATAATATTTGCAATACATGCGACAATATCTTACGATTTAAAAAACACCTTGGATAAATAACGAAATGTGCAACACTCCATTGGGTTGGAACTTATAAAAGTATCATACAATGTTTTCTTTATAGTTTGAATACTCTTATAAGCAGACTCTTAATACGTCCAAAGTATCAGAAATTCTGATATTTTTCAAATCCCCTATACAGGGTGTCCCAAAAAAATGTCCTCCATCATATTTTGTGGTACTACATCGTTAACGACCTGTAATCGAATATTCACATTTTTTCATTTTTTTTATCAATGAACATATTACGTTAATCGTTGCACTTTTTCGCATCAAAATATTTAACCGTTCGCCTTCTAGAGTTACGGTGGCGACACCAATATTATAGGTTTAAACATATTACGGAACGTAATAAAATATTTTTAATGGTAATTAGTTGTAGCCAAAATCGCGAATTAATTTTCTGTAAAAATGAAGCAATCCCCAGAAAAGGGGAAAGATTAGTGCTGAAATCCCAACATTTGCTCTTTCATGGAATAAATTGAACGGAAAACAGCAAATTTAAGGCATTTTGCCAACCTTAGCTTTGCCTTTGTCAATTTGCCAGGGATTTTTCATCTTTTTTTTATTAATTTCTACAAGAAACAAAAGTTTAATAATAGAGATAAAAAACATTTTCTTTTTGAGCAGAAAGGTGGGTAGAAACTTTAGAAATCCTTCTACAAATTTGCATTATTTTTAACCTATAATTTCTGTAATTTGGACGGGTTGCAAAATTGGTGTTGCCACCTTAAGTATCTCTAGAAGCCGAACGGTTAAGTCTTTTGGTGAGATAAATACTATGATTAATATAATGATTGTTTTTCAACCCACTGCAAAAAAATTGAACCTTTGATTAAATATAGCGAAGTAATACCACCAAACATGACCGGGGACATTTTTTTTGGGACATCCTGTATGTGAAATATACTTAAAACTGCAGAGACTGATAAGTCGAAAGTACTGAGAAATTCTGATACTTTTGAAATCCTCTATACCTCAAATATCATTAAAACTGCAGAGACTGGTAGTCCAAAGTATCAGAAATTCTGATACTTTTGAAATCCTCTATACCTCAAATATCATTAAAACTGCATTGACTGGTAGTTCAAAGTATCAGAAATTCTGATACTTTTGAAATCCTCTATACCTCAAATATCATTAAAACTGCATTGACTGGTAGTCCAAAGTATCAGAAATTCTGATACTTTTGAAATCCTCTATACCTCAAATATCATTAAAACTGCAGAGACTGGTAGTCCAAAGTATCAGAAATTCTGATATTTTTGAAATCTTCTATACCTCAAATATCATTAAAACTGCAGAGACTGGTAGTCCAAAGTATCAGAAATTCTGATACTTTTGAAATCCTCTATACCTCAAATATCATTAAAACTGCAGAAACCGGTAGTCCAAAGTATCAGAAATTCTGATACTTTTGAGATCCTCTATATGTGAAATATACTTAAGTATATTTAACTGCAGAGTAACTGCAGAGACTGATAGTAATATACAATTTATTTAATATTTAATATGTTCATTCTGATAATTTGGTGACCAACTATAATTTTGTAATCTGTTTCGTATGTACGAAAGTATCAGCGATATAAATGGTTTAAATATCGGGGCGTAGTAAACTAAGCGCTGTTACGGACTCCCTGCCATTAATTGTATTATGGTTATTTACAAGGCAAAGCTAATAAATTAAATTAATTAATTAAAAAGTATCAGACTTTTTATACTTTGTACCACCAGTCTCTACAGTTTTAGGTATATTTGAGATATAAATGGCTTATTTCTGATAATTTGGAACACCAGTCTCTTAGACGGCCGGCCAAGTCATCAATTTGTTCAACTGGATGGCAACTTTATGTTAGAAGCTGGTAACAGGCATTTTCTTATAGTTCAAGCCTTGGTGAACACGACTATATGTGTTACCACTTCTGATTTTTGCTTTATAGCCAAACATTTGAGAATTTTAAAATTTTGCCTATTAAATTACTATGATCAGAAAAAAATGTAAAATTTCATGTTCTCTTATACGAAAAATAAACTATACCACTAGAAAGAGCGTAAAAAACTATATATAAGACAATTAAGTGAGTTCTACGTTTTTCCAATCCTATTTCGAGTTTTTAATGTTAAAAAATGCAGAAATGACCAAATTAATGCTAATTAGTACCCATTTTGCCAACTTTAACCATCTTTAATTCAAAATCGGCTTGAAAATCGCACTAGTCGCTTAGTTATCTTATATATAGTTTTTTGCGCTCTTTCTAGTGGTATAGTTTATTTTTTGTATAAGAGAACATGAAATTTTACATTTTTTGCCATCATAGTAATTTAATAGGCAAAATTTTAAAATTCTCAATTTTTTTACTATAAAGCAAAAATCAGAAGTGGTAACACACACAGTCTTATTCACCAAGGCTTGAACTATAAGAAAATGCCTGTTACCAGCTTCTAACATAAAGTTGCCATCAAACTCTCTTTAGAGGCACTTTTTGCCACCTTGGCCGGCTGACTATCTGCAGTTTTAAGTATATTTGAGATATAGCTAATGAGGATTGCAAAAGTATCAGAATTTCTGATACTTTCGACTACCAATTTCTGCAATTTTAAGTATTTTTCACATATAGGGGATATGAAAAGTATCAGAATTTCTGATACTTTGGATTACCAGTCTCTGCAATTTTAAGCATATTTGAGATAAGTGGATTATAAAAGTATCAGAATTTCTGATACTTTGGACAACCAGCTAGTCTCCGCAGTTTTAAGTATATTTTAGATATAGCGGATTTCAAAAGTATCAGAATTTCGATCTGATCACACTTTGGATTATAAGTCTCTGCAGTTTTAAGTATATTTGAGATAAGTGGATTTTAAAAGTATCAGAATTTCTGATACTTTGGACTACTAGTCTCTGCAGTTTTAAGTATATTTGAGATAAGTGGATTTCAAAAGTATCAGAATTTCTGATACTTTGGACTACCAGTCTCTGCAGTTATAAGGTTTTTGTATATTTCAATTGGAGCATCTCACAAAAATTTATGCTGCTTAATAAGGTGTATCTATATCTTCGCATTTCCAACATAATGTATTGCAATTTGCTTATTCGTCATTTTTGCTAGTCCGTATCCTCTATTTTTGCAGACAAAAATTGATGGTCAGCAAGATTTTTTGAAAATGATTGTTTATGTTGACGGGTTTTTCTATATGGAAACAGTTTTCGCGCTTTAAGCGTGATTTTGCAAATATCATTTCAGATATCATTTCTTTTGACTTATTTTGCAGATAGTATAAAGCCATAAAGTATTTAAACGTTTTTTTATATTTTGCGAAAAATGAGCAGAAAATCTGCAAAATGAGGGGAAAATAGCCCAAAAAAAGAATTTTGGAAAATGCAAAGATAGTTTGGAACGCGTTACATGTAGTGCAGGATTTATATAAAAAAGTGCACACAGTTGGAAAAAGTTCGCTAAACAGCAAATTCCTCAAAATTTGTGAAAACTTTATGTATGCATGGCGGTGTTTGGGGTCTTCTGGTATCTTCACCACTAAAATTATTTTGAAAAATAAATTTTCTAGTACAGGTAGGAGGGTTGTTTTTAAAACCCACTTTAAAAATGGCTTGCCCACCAAAACAGAAGGCTTAAAACGCAATTTGAATTCATGGGGTGCAAATCTAGAGGGTGTTTTATGAACTATCAAAGTACCAGACAATTTGATGTACATGAAGTCCTAAGCGCGACCTCCAAAACTTGTACTTTTTTCCTCATATTTCGAATTCACGCATAATTTATCACACGCAAGACTGGTTTTATGCATGATTGATTAATTTCTTACATTCTCTTTACAAAAAGTTTAAAAATTATGCGTGACATTATTGTACATCTGGTACTTGGAGAGTTCGTAAAACACCATCGAAATTTGCACCTTATGAATTCAATTGTAAAATTGCGGCGTTTTATTAAGCCTTCCATTTTTGTGCGCAAGCCATTCTTAAAGTAGGTTTTAGGAACAACTCTCATGCATTCCAGATAATTTTAGTGGTGAAGACACTACCCATGTAACCATGTTTGCATATAGTTTTCACAAATTTTGCGGAATTTGCAGTTGAGCGAACATTTTCAAACTGTGCAGTTTTCTTTTTATACACCCTGTGTTCGGAAATTGATTGTTGTATAGTTCAAAGTACTAAACTTTCAACTATTTTGTCATTTTGCACAAATATATAAAAAATTTTAAATGATCGTGTGGGCCGTGTGGCAACACAACGCGAGACTCAATAAATAAAGGTTAAATCAATGTTTGGAAAATATAGGCGAGGGGGTGCTGCATACATGTATTTCTGATCATACGATTTACTTCACTATATTTGAATAGGTTACAATGATAGTTTTGCTCAAAGTGCTCTATTTTCATACATAAAATGGACATATTATAACCTGGAACCAGAGACCTAGCTGGCAGGGTCGATTCCCAGTTGGGTCGCTAAGAAATCAGCAGATGATTTGACTCCATTTGGAAAACTGACATATGCAGCTGAAAGGGTTCTTGTACAAAGGTGTTCTTAAGACGCTGTTGCGCCCCTCAATCTCTATGTCTAAAGATAAGAGATTCACACTATACGTACCTAAATTCTGTGTCCGGTGTGCTTGTTTTGATGTCTGAGATCTGTGCTTTGCATGTCTGCCGTTATTTTGAATAAGGCGACGTTGGTATATGTTCACACACAGTGAAAGCAGAAAACAGAGGCACGCAATAACCAGCGGTATCAAAAGTTCCATGAAGGTTTTATCCCCAGTGGATTGTTCTGTACTTCGTCTTTCAATATATTCCTCTATATAAAATGTTCAATTTACTACCAAAACCGTGGATGCTTCTTCTCGCCCGAAAAAACGTGTCATGTTTTCGCGTCAAAACATTCAGAATTGTGACTACATTCCTACGCCTATATTACTATTAAAATAGCAATCTATTATTAGCTAATCTCAACCTAATCTCTCACGGGCCAATCAGACGTCGTCATTCACAAGATATCTATTTCACGACGTCAGGAATGTAGTTTTATTTTGGAAAAGTTTGACACGAAAACATGAACTTTCAGCCGATAGGAAGCAACGGTAATAAGAAATTGTTCAAAGTGCTTAAGAAATTTTCAGTGTTAAGATTTTCTTGATAGAGTTTTTTTGTGTTAATTCCAATTCTGAAAAGCGATTTTTAAATTTTCGTGTAGCTTTGTTTTTATCGGCTATCAAAGTCGCGAAATTAAACGCTCCAGATGCAAAAATCAGTGTAGGCTATGACGACGTCATAACGATGTTTCTTGCTGGATCGCCATGCATGCGGTTTGTAAACATGGCGTCGACTTCGACTGGTTCTTTGCGTAAACACGGAAGTAGATCTTGGCAGTTCACACGTTCAGGGTATGGCTGTGTCATCGATACCGTCACGTGTGGCAATTATAGCGGCTGTATATTCTTCGCATGGACTACCACCTTGAAACGCCAAATTAACAACATTTTTTCGACTTTTTCAACAAACTTGGTATCAGAATGATCAGAAAAGATTCAGAAGCACTTTAGAAAGGTTTTGGTGGCGAATATTTAATTCCAATAAGAGAAAGATCGGAGTAGTAATATTTTTTGACGATTTACCTGGAGGTTTTACCATAGTTTTAACACTGCTACTCCATTCTGTTGAATAATACGAGTCCTATTGAAAAGACAACAGTGATGGTTACTAGCGATGTTTTTGTTCGCTATAATTATATTTGTTTTAAGTAGATAAATGCAATCCCTGTTTGCTTCTGAAAACACATAAATTCATGAATAAAGCAATACCGAATGTAGACTTTCCAAAGTCCTTTCCAGACCCTTCTATGGCAGTCTATACCGCCGAATGGTTTTCCGTGCAGGATTGCGTGATCCATGCACGAGGGATGTCGAGAGACTTTCGGAAAGCGTAAAAATACTCGAGCAACATCCCAAGTGCATGGATCACGCTATCCTGCTTGGAAAACCATTTGGCAATTGTTTTATGAAATAACTACAGTGAGACAATGACATTTTGAGAATCCCGCGAAAATCCCGCGAAGGCATTTTAATTCCTCGTGCAGGATAGCCTGATCCTGCACGGCTATTGACCAATCAAATTTCGTGTTTCATACTTATTATGTAATTTAATTTGATTAGCTCCATTATTCAGCTTGTACTCACGTTGCTTTCAAAAAATCTCAGGAACACGATATAACTTGAATTCTGTTTCAGAGGTTGGTTGAAGTATTTTTGTTTTTCAGAATTATACTCCTTGCCATCACCGATCACGAATGTCAAAGGTAGAACATCAGCTTTCAAATAAGCGGTGACATAGAGATCTTGTATGTTTTCCTGGAAAGGTCCCAGGTTGTTTGTTTGAAAATTAGCGCTGGGTATTGAACTGCCGGCTGTTGCATTGTGAACTATGACCATCACTCCTCTAAATCATTAAGCATCGCACCATAGAAGCAAAACAAAGTGCTATTATTAGAGGTAATCATACATTTTATAGTAGCATGAAATGAGGAATTAGTTGTCAAATGAGAATGCAGGGGTAGTACATTTTAGATGCCAGTCGAGATGTAGAGCGCAGTGACGATGGCGTTGGGGACTCTCATTTAATAATATCGTTACGTCGCAATGTGAACTCATGTAATTACTGTAAATCACAGATCGCTCCGTAATAAAATTACAAAAACGAAGAGAAGGAAATTAATTCGAAATTATTTCTTTGGAGAGATTCGAATTCAATGATTGAATAAGGTTAAGAGTCTACATCTCGGAACCGAGGTAAAGCTGCTAAATGAGTGAGTCAAGAGCTAGGAGCCAAGGAGAGATCGCTGACATATCATGTTGCCGAAATTTGTTTTACCATTTCTTTCCCAGGGAAAAATTTGCCTAGAAAAAATTCTGGTCGATCGTTCCTCATGTTAAATATCGCATGCCAATAATGACAGAATCACCCCTCGAATTTCTACACGATGTACTCGAAGGAGATGTTATATTTTGGCCACGTAGAAACTTACTTGATATATTCTGCTGGTTTGGGTATGTTTAAGCTCAGAGTATAATAGGACGTTGCGAATGGATTTATTGGCTCTAAGAATAAAAAATTCAGCAGTTAATACATTAATTGCAGTGGTTGCCAACTAAACAGCCTGTGAGGTCAATGTACGGAGTAAAATATCCACCAAGACTGTGGCAAACACTACTGCATATATAGGAGGGGCCAGAGGGAGCATGTAACTGCTCCCCCATAATTTCCTAACTTTTTTAAATAGTAACCGAATAACTGCGTAACAGAGCTTTTACAATAACTATGAAAGCATTGGTAGGTTATTTATTAAGAAAACTTGCATGCATAGATCGTTTCGAAAAATAGTTGTCATTCTTTTTTCTTCCAAAAATAATTTCAACCAAGGTAGTCACTGCCGCCTTATAGAATACTTCAAGACTAACAGTTTTACAAAGTATGAATGTAATACTTTGTATATTGTCTTTGAGAAATTAAATGTTAAAAATACTGAAGTTTATCGTAGATTTAGTTTGGTGTTTTTGCACATTTCCAAGGGCTACAATTTCGCTTCCAAATAACAATCTGGTAGTGCATAAAGTAGAACATAATGCAAAATTGTGGGGGATAGTTTTCGAATCGGTCAATGGGGAAAAAAGTTTAAAGAAACGCAATTTGCAGCAACAAAAGAGAGGCAATAACTAATATCGCAACCCAAATCCCCCTCCCCCGAAACAAAATTGGGCTACTGTGGCAAGACATAGAGTTGTAGATATAAACGTCGGTTTAGGCAAAACTTCAAAAGGGTTGTCGCAACTTGCTTGACTGTTTTTCCACCACTGTTACGACACAATCGGAACTCGATGATTCACAGTACTACATGC